GCTGTACAAACTCCAAATAAAGACGTAGAAAAGTTCAGACCATGAACAAGGATGACTGCAAGCCACCAAGCAGAAATCCCAATCCAACTTAAATCCATATTGATTAGTTTACAGATTGTGGCATGAAGAAATCGGAAGGTGTGTATGCATGACACTGAAGCTACTGGATGCCTAGAAATCATTCTTGTGAGGAGCTTACGGGCTGCAGACACAGGTTGAGGGATTTCACATGGCGGTAATCCAGTTGGGTTCCCCAATTGTGCTTTGAAAGGTGTGCATAAGGAGGTAGTCCTCAAGCAAATTTATTTTTTGAAAACCTTAAGCTCAAAAAGGAATGTAACTAATATACAGGATCAAAAGTCTCCTGAATCCCACGCCTGGTGCCAAAGCAGTGATGCCAGGGCCACGTCCACGGAAGAGTTCAGCTTGAAGCTGCACAGTAAGGGTGGGTTAATTATGTCTGCAGCAGTTGGGTCTCTTTGAGAGCACAGGCATGTGAAGCAAAGCCGTCACATCCAAATACAAAAACCTGGAGCTACAAAAAGCCGCCCTCCAGCTGCTTTGCTTTATTGTTCACTCTCACGGCAGATTTTTTTTAAAAAATTATTTATTTCTCATTCCACGAGAAGCCATTGCAATTAAACGGCGGCACAAACAAGCAAAATGTTGGTGCTGTTCATCGCGAAGCACGCAATATATGCAAGACGGCAGAGAGACTCAGAACATATTCCTTTTAGGGCTGGCATACAGGAGCAGATGGAGCTGATGAGCAAACCTGGTTGTAATCTGCCTTTGTCTGTCTTGCTCACCCTTCTCGTGGCGGCTGTGACAGAAAATATGGAGCTGCATATGGTACTAGGATCCATTCCAGCAGCCAAGAGGCACAGCCTGATGACGCACTTTGCCGAAGCCTAGCCAGCTTTTGACTCAAGGACTGTGGCAAGCAGTTCAAATATCAAATGCGTCATGAAACACAACCCCCCGGAACGTTGTTCACATTTTCTCTTTGAAACAGCTCACTCCTTATTTTTTAACTCATAAAAAGGTGGGCGTTAATGAATAGCATTTTGAGCTTCTAGTACAGCTTATCTGCGCTCATCTTTTAATAATTTGTACTGTTAATTGGCTCTGACTTGGATGGCCCAGGGTATCCCCATCTCATCAGATCTCGGAAGCTAAGCCAGGCCAGCCCTGGTTAGTATCTGGATGCAAGACTGCCAAGGAAGTCGAGGAACACTGCAGACGCAGGCAGTTGCAAATCACCCCTGAACATCTCTTGCCTTGAACACCCTGCATAAGTCAGCTGCAACTTGATGGCAGTTCCCACCACCACCACCAGCACCGTTAAGGTTCGGCTTTTCCATACTTTTTTAGAGGTTTGATGCAACGACGGTAGGGTGGTATTTTAAAAGCTCAACTTTATACTGTTTTCCAAAAACTTGTTTTTTCAAGTTTTATTATTTCTGCCATTGTTACTAAGCTTACGACACGTAACACTTGAATCTGCTTTGACAGCTCGAAGGGACAAAATCCCTAAATGATTGAGAGGGAGCAGAATCAGACCCAGGAAAATTACTTCTTCTGAAAATGCAGATATCAGAACACTGCAGCAAGAATTTACTCGGTGCTCTGAATTTAAAGTGCATGAACGAGCTCCTCTCATTTTAGAACATGTAAATTAATATCAGCTTGCTAAGAATTTTCCACCCTTGACTACTTTATCTTCAGAAGTAACTACAAAGCGGGGACATCAGAAGTTCTCAGTGAAACAGTTCACCTAAGTGTCATAAATGTAGTTCTCAATATGGCCAAATCTGTGGATACTTAAATCTAGAGACTGGAGGCATGAACAGACAAGGCAGATATTTCTACAAACCTGAGAATAGTCCCAGGTTTCCCCCCAAAACCCTCAAATCTAAAACATGCACACACACTGTGGGGCTTAAAAACCCTCAAAATAACAGAAACAGCACCTGTAGCTTTAAGAAACAAATACCCTCTTTGGCCACTGCTAGGCAACCACAACAATACTGCCCACTGAAGCCTTAGTTTCTGTCAGTAAATGGCAGAGAGGGGGGCAGAGTCCTTTCCAGGGCTTTTTTGGCCCTTGAGGGAGAACTTATTGGGGCCAGCTGGGCAGCAACCACCAGGCTGGCAGCAACTTGCCTGCAAAGTCATGTACATCCACCGCTTGTACAGTACTAACTATGGATGATCCCAGATGCTAGAAAGTATCTAATAATACAAACCACCAATGCAAAAAAGCTCTGTTAACTTGAACACATGTGATTCAGCAGGTATAGCAAACTCACTCCAGAATTCTCAAAGAACTGAAGTTCTTTGTCTGCACTGTAGCTTGTCCGTACTATTCTTCTGACATGAATCTTAACAAATTCTCTGCTCTCCCTTTTTCCTGGAAGGGTTGGAACACTTCTGCCAGACCCCTGCTTGAGTTTAGCCTATGGGCCTTCAAGGTCCCCTGACAGAAAAGTTAATCAAGTAATACCATATGCTCCAGCATTTCTTCTGCATCACCAGAAGCAAAATACAAAGGGCACCTCCTCTCAGTAGTATGAGGAAAGGGCAGGATGGCCAGACCATAGTAGCCTCACTAAGGTGTTGCAGTTCCCTCACTGATAGAATCCTTAAATATTCAGGTCGTCAAAGCTCAAAGAATAACATCCTGTTGTTAATGACCACCATTTTGTGTGGGCCATAAACATGTGGCAATCCCTCAGGGAGATGCAGAGGGTCTTCTTAAATAAACATGGTATATTTTTATTCTCAGTCTACAAGGAAAGGAACACAAGGCCTAGCAAAGTCCTTCCCGGCAGATTTCCTAGCCAGCTTACTCAAAGTGAAACCTGGTCTGGAACCACTCCAGAGTCTACTACCCTGGAACTAAAATAAAACATGAACTGGGACTTCCAGATATTACATGAGCCCTGGCTACCATCCCTTTTACAACTATAACCAATGTGATCCATTCCAGTCCTGTCAGCGACGCAAAACTGCATGAAGGAGTACAAAGGCCATGGGTACTAAGTTACGGTTATTAAGTATACTCACTTTCCTCTGAGGATCTTAAGTGAGACAGGAGGAAACGTTTTTAACTTTCGACCCAAATCTTGCTTTTCTGAAGTTAAAAAAAAGTGCTCAAGAGCCACAACAAACCCCACAAGATGACCCTGCCATTTTAGGAGCCATCATAAAGCCTAGAATTGGGGTGGGTGGGTGGGGGGAG